TGACTTTCCTCCAAGGTAATGATTTCATTAATGCTGAAGCAGCTTTTGAATGGTATGAAAAAAAAGGAAGAGGTTCTTTAAGGAAGTCTAAAATATGTTTCATTCATGGTTTGGGACCAGGTGAAAGCAATGTTAAGGGATAAACCCACATTTATGCTGTAATTAAGTGCAAATGAGGATATAGCTCTAAACATACTGTTGCTAGTTGTATGCTATTCAGAGTCACATTCAGTGAGATGGGTGGTCAGGTGAATTTGCTAAACAGTTGTGGGTTTTTTTTTTGCTAAAGCAGTATTCTGGAGATACAGGTAGCCCTCAGCTTATGACCACAATTGAGCCCAAAATGTATGGTGCTAAGTGAGAAATTTATTAAGTGGGTTTTGCCCCATTTTACGACTTTTCTTGCCACATTTGTTAAGTGAATCACTGTAGTTGTTAAATTACCGTAGTAACACAGCTATTAAGTGAATCTGGTTTCCCCATTGACTTTGCTTGTCAGAAGGTTGCAAAAGGTGATCACATGACCCAGGAAGACTGCAATTATCATAAATACGAATATAAATCACATGATCATGGAGATGCTACAGCGGTCTTAAGAGTGAAAAATGGTCATAAGTCACTTTTTTCAGTGTCGTTATGACTTTGAACAGTCACTAAGTGAACTGTTGTAAGTTGAGGACTACCTGTAATAGAACTGCAATATGCACAACCCCAGTAGGTGGGCAGCAGCACCTAGCCAACTTTGGCTAGTCTCAGAAAGTTCAGCTGAATTGGACTCTTTTAGTACTTCATTGGGAAACCACCAGGAGATCATAGTTCTGAAGGCTGTATTGGGAATCAAAGAGATTGTCCTGGAAGAAGGTAATGGCAAATCACTCCTATATTCCAGCCAAGAGAATTGTATGGAAGTCCATAAAATCAGCAGAAGTTGAATGTGATTTAAAAGAGACTTTTGTTTTTTCAGTCTAATACATATGAAGAGTATGAACAACCTAGTCCTAGACAGTTAACACTTTTTCCCAAGTCCAAGGGTGTATATGTTTTATCTTATGATTTATATTGTTTTATTTAGTATCCTAGTATAATTTATGTTGTTTGCTTATTTAGTATCCTATGTCTATCACTAAGTGTTATATCTTATGATTTATGATAAATATTTTTATGTGGATTATGATCATGATTTATCACCTGTTACTTGTTTGTACACTGAGAGCTTACGCATCGGAGACAAATTCCTTGTGTATCCAATCACACCTGGCCAATAATAAAGAATTCTAATTCTAGATGTTTTACAATCTGATAGCAAAATGCTGCTGATAAACATGCCTGCATCTCTTCGGATCCTTATAATGCATTCACGATAAACAGGCTACCTGGCAGTTTCCCTTAGATCCAGACTGAAAAATCAGTGTTAAAGATTCTGGAGCTGTATTATGAAACACAAGACAGGAACCAAACTGAAAGATTTGCCTACCCCTAACTGGAAGGCTCATTACCCATTGATTATCAGAAACTTATCCTTCAAAGAATAATGGGAATGTTAGGCTTCAATCATTAATTTCCTTAAGAAAATCATTGCTGTGTTTGGTCCATTAAAAAACAAATATAATCTAGTTGGGTTCTATTTTTCCAACTTCTCTGAAAATACCTGACATAACAACTTTGTTTTAATGCTGCAAACTTTGGGAGTTTTTTTCTGCTTGTTTACCTGGATTTGGGGCTACCTGTCAGGAAACAACCCACATTGGTTGGCTATGTATACTTCCTGGTAAAGGTCCCCAAAACTGGGACTTTACTTCTTGGTTAACAAAACTGCTTATTGTTATTTTGTCTCTTTTCCATCCTTACTTCCGCTCAGAAAATAGCATCTGCCTTCAATGCTCTATTGCCTATAGCCATTTATACATAGTGTATATGACATCACATCACATTTAGATCATAACATGACATCACATTTAGAACAACATTATTTCAGAAGATATATCCAGGGAAATAGTTCAGCATGTAATTACCCACACAGTGGTGGAAGTAGATGTATAACCCTTGTGCACTACTATCTCATCACTTCTTCATTTCTTTCCACACAAAAAAAATATTAATGAAGGAAAGAATAGGTGCAGGTCTTCTGATGGGCGGTATGAGAAAGCATCCATTTGGAATCACTCAGAGAAAACATTTTGTAGGCACAACCATTTCCTTACTTTCCACAAGCCATGTGATGCTGATCAGACATTCCCAGTCCAAGGATAAGGATACAGTACATTTCAGCAAGGTGCTTTTTGGTCACTGCTAGCTTTATTTGGTTTTCTGTCATTTCTTTTTTTTCTAGGATGCNTGACTTTCCTCCAAGGTAATGATTTCATTAATGCTGAAGCAGCTTTTGAATGGTATGAAAAAAAAGGAAGAGGTTCTTTAAGGAAGTCTAAAATATGTTTCATTCATGGTTTGGGACCAGGTGAAAGCAATGTTAAGGGATAAACCCACATTTATGCTGTAATTAAGTGCAAATGAGGATATAGCTCTAAACATACTGTATGCTATTCAGAGTCACATTCAGTGAGATGGGTGGTCAGGTGAATTTGCTAAACAGTTGTGTTGTTTTTTTTGCTAAAGCAGTATTCTGGAGATACAGGTAGCCCTCAGCTTATGACCACAATTGAGCCCAAAATGTATGGTGCTAAGTGAGAAATTTATTAAGTGGGTTTTGCCCCATTTTACGACTTTTCTTGCCACATTTGTTAAGTGAATCACTGTAGTTGTTAAATTAGTAACACAGCTATTAAGTGAATCTGGTTTCCCTATTGACTTTGCTTGTCAGAAGGTTGCAAAAGGTGATCACATGACCCAGGAAGACTGCAATTATCATAAATACGAATATAAATCACATGATCATGGAGATGCTACAGCGGTCTTAAGAGTGAAAAATGGTCATAAGTCACTTTTTTCAGTGTCGTTATGACTTTGAACAGTCACTAAGTGAACTGTTGTAAGTTGAGGACTACCTGTAATAGAACTGCAATATGCACAACCCCAGTAGGTGGGCAGCAGCACCTAGCCAACTTTGGCTAGTCTCAGAAAGTTCAGCTGAATTGGACTCTTTTAGTACTTCATTGGGAGTCCACCAGGAGATCATAGTTCTGAAGGCTGTATTGGGAATCAAAGAGATTGTCCTGGAAGAAGGTAATGGCAAATCACTCCTATATTCCAGCCAAGAGAATTGTATGGAAGTCCATAAAATCAGCAGAAGTTGAATGTGATTTAAAAGAGACTTTTGTTTTTTCAGTCTAATACATATGAAGAGTATGAACAACCTAGTCCTAGACAGTTAACACTTTTTCCCAAGTCCAAGGGTGTATATGTTTTATCTTATGATTTATATTGTTTTATTTAGTATCCTGGTATAATTTATGTTGTTTGCTTATTTAGTATCCTATGTCTATCACTAAGTGTTGTATCTTATGATTTATGATAAATATTTTTATGTGGATTATGATCATGATTTATCACCTGTTACTTGTTTGTACACTGAGAGCTTACGCATCGGAGACAAATTCCTTGTGTATCCAATCACACCTGGCCAATAATAAAGAATTCTAATTCTAGATGTTTTACAATCTGATAGCAAAATGCTGCTGATAAACATGCCTGCACCTCTTCGGATCCTTATAATGCATTCACGATAAACAGGCTACCTGGCAGTTTCCCTTAGATCCAGACTGAAAAATCAGTGTTAAAAGATTCTGGAGCTGTATTATGAAACACAAGACAGGAACCAAACTGAAAGGTTTGCCTACTCCTAACTGGAAGGCTCATTACCCACTGATTATCAGAAACTTATCCTTCAAAGAATAATGGGAATGTTAGGCTTCAATCATTAATTTCCTTAAGAAAATCATTGCTGTGTTTGGTCCATTAAAAAACAAATATAATCTAGTTGGGTTCTATTTTTCCAACTTCTCTGAAAATGCCTGACATAATAACTCTGTTTTAATGCTGCAAACTTTGGGGGTTTTTTCTGCTTGTTTACCTGGATTTGGGGCTACCTGTCAGGAAGCAACCCACATTGGTTGGCTATGTATACTTCCTGGTAAAGGTCCCCAAAACTGGGACTTTACTTATAATAATAATAATAATAATTTAATTTGTACCCCGCCCTTCTCCTCATAGGACTCAGGGCGGCTAACAGCCTCATAAAAACCACAATACAATAATACAATAATATCTATATTAAAAACCGAATTAAAAGGAAATATTTAAGAAGGCCAATCATTAAAATTATCCTTAAAATTACCCTTAAAAAACCCCGCTAAAATTCC